ATTTTATCATTTTATGAATGTTATGAATTGAATATTTTTTAGTTTGTTTGATGAATTGAACGGTAGTTTTTTTTTTTTTTTAGAACTTAACTTTAAATTTTAATTTTTTTAAAATAAATTAATAGAAATAACGGGTTTAAACGGGTTTCGTGTCATATCGTATCGACACGACTTGAAATCTGTTAACAAAACGTGTATATCGTGTCAAACCGTTTAACCCGTTAACAAATCGTGTTCGTGTTCGTGTTAAAAATTTGAACCCGTTAATCATAACATGTCGTGTCCTTGTTTAGCCTTATCGTGTTCGTGTCGATCCGTTAACGGACTCGTATACACGAATTGCCAAGTCTAGGTAGGGGTAGGGGAGGAGACTATAAATTGCAATTTCATGATATGAGGGAATTACAATTGCTTCCAACCAAACACCCTGTAATAGATAAAGTATAAATACAATAGTGCCACTGTTTAATTGGCTACCTTGCATTGGTGAATCACACCTAGTGTTAAAAAGGAGATTTATTGTTCTGAAAGTGGTGGCTAAGTAAGTAAAACATAATTTTTGTACTTAAATATCCAAAGTTAGTTTTTGTCAAACACCCTCTAATCGAGCTCAACACACAAAGTTTTTGATCCCACAACTTTTGAACTCTTATCACTTTTGATGCACAATTTTAAATTTGTGTAATTTTGGTGCCTAACTTTGTTATATTTATCAGTTTTGGTCCTTCCGACCAAATTGACGGTGAAATGTTGTAGGATTATATATATTTTTATGGGCAAAATCATCATCTCAAGCAAAAATCTTCAATATCTAAACAAAAGAAAAATCATATTAAGAGAAAAAGTAGGGATGGCAATATGCCCCGTCCCCGTTGGGGATCCCCGATCCCCGCTCCGACGGGAACGAGGATGTTGTAAATTTTCGGGGGACGGGGACGGGGACGGGGACGGGGATACCCCTCCCCGCCCCGCCCCGTCCCCGAATAATTAATAATAATAAATAAATAATATATATATATATATATATATATATATATATAATTAAGATTTAAATTTTTAATTTTTAAAATTTTGATTAAGAATTGAACAGGGATCGGGGAATCCCCGTCCCCGCCTAATTCCCCGCGGAGACGGGGATGGGGGTTATTTTCAATTCTCTGCCGGGGACGGGGACGGGGACGGGGATGGGGTCGGGGTTTCGGGGACGGGGACGGGGACGGGGAGTATACTCCCCGCCCCCGCCCCGCCCCGTTGCCATCCCTAAGAAAAAGAATGATTTGTCAATTATCAACGCTATAAATCTCATAGATATGTGCATAGTTTATGTATCTCTTCTTCATTATTCTCATCGGTCAAACACATATAGATATAATTTTACAATGATTTTATTTAGATATTGAAGATCTTTCATTGGGGTGACGATTTTACCCTTGGAAATATAAAATCCTGCAACATTTTATCGTCAATTTGGTCGGAAAGACTAAAACGAATAAAACTAACAAAAATAAGTACCAAAATTAAAAAAATTTAAAACTGTGCCAAAAATAATAGATCTCAAACATCGTGCGACCAAAAGTGAAATTAATTATTTCGACAATTAACAATACAATTTAACATTAATTAGACTTAGTTGTTTACCTTTCCCGTATATAATTTTAAGGTTAAGAAATTTATGAAATCGTACATAATGGTATCATTATTATATTTTATATTTTTTGTACTTAATAACGCTACGTGCGTGAAATTTTCATAATTAGAATTAACTGGTTTTTCTTCTGACTTGCAAGTCAATCCTATCCTACTTCAATAAATAACGCTAACGTGTACTTTGATCAAAAGTTAAAACATCATTATTGCAAGTGTAATTTAAGGTTAGATGTTACAACGTTGCTATTAGACAACTGCTCAAATGCCTAATTGCCTAAATCCTATTTAGGTGTTATTAGTAGTTAAATTTGACATTATTTCCTGCTTGTATTGTACGGAATATTGGTTAGGTAGTCGGCAGCTATTTGTGACTAATAATGTATGGGTCTTTAGTATGGTCCATATAATATAAAAATATATAGAACATGATAATATCACAATAACACAATCAATCATTTAGATGCAAAAATCATATCAAGGATAATGACAAGATTCACATCTTCATCTTCGTAATGTTATTTGAGGGTCAATAGACAGCCATAGGGATTATTAATTGAACACCGCATGTATTTTGAAACAAATACGTGTGTAAATGTTACGAGGTTTAAAGGTGCCTATATTAACTTTCTTTTGTTTGAGATTTAGTTTAATTCTTTAAGAGCTCCGTTCCTAATGATTTGTTTGATAAATTGTTGTTAATTTAGAAGGGAAATGAGAGAAAAGAATTCTCCTACTAATTTAATGTTTTTTTGTTATAAATGAAAAAAAAAAAACAAAACAAAAAGATTACTACATTTGGCCAACATGTGCACTTACCCATTGCATACATTAGGGTGGTCGTCAGTTAGCGACTACTGCGACAATTTTATTTTGTTTTTAATTATTTTTCCCCTCTTTGCACCAACTTAACAAAAAATCTTAAATTTGTTAAAACCATTAGCCCTGCTCTAATAAAGAATAACTGACTTTTTAAAAACTATATATAATTATTAAAGTTTAAAAAAATAATAATATTATGAACAGGAATCTTGGAAGTTAGTTTAAATGGCGTTGTGCTCGTGCACTATAAGACACAGTCCACAGCTGTTATTATTTGATTTAATATATATCATCACTGTATTAACCCCCCCCCCCCCCACTCCCCCCCACCCCCCAAAAAAAAGAAAAAGAAATGCAAATTCGCATTCTTGTTCTTGTTAAAGTCAACCTCCATGAGTGTATAAGAATTCTACATGAATAAGAATGGGAACAAAAAAATATATTTTTTAATCTCTTAATTAATTAATATGTTTGGTAACTTTTGATAGCATAGAAATGACTAACTATGAATATTTGATGGATAAAATTTGCTTTTACCTTGAACAAGAATTTATGCATTTGTTCACACAGATTTAACTCAATGGTTTAGTAAGCAGTAGTAATTGAGATAAGAGATTAATGTTCAAACCTCAACAGCAGTAGTGTGGGGATTATGTTCAAAGTGGGCAAATCCCTTGTACACACCACTGGTCATGTTTACTGAGTCAGTGGATCACCGTGATTTACATTAAGCACACAAACCACGCACCTTAAGAAAGAAAATCACACACCTTAAATTTGACCTAAATGCAAAAACACTAAATTACTATCGTATTTTTTTTGTTTAATTATTGTTAATCCTAAACATTGATTTAAGCAAGATCAATGGCTTTGTTTAAACCACACAACCACACGAGACACACCCAACCGCATGAAAACTGAATTATATACCATTCAATTATATACTAATATATACATGAACTTTTAATTGAGACCGAAACATTTTTTTTTTAATTTGGTATTAGAATCCCTTATAACAGCAATGACATATATTTAATAAGCTGTTAAAGCATCATTATTGCATGTATATTAAAAGCAGGGGTTACAATGTTACTATTCGACAACATCCCTAGTACCTAATTGCCTATTCTTAATAAGCATTAGTAGTTGAAATTACCATTGTTGTATTGTACGAAATACTGATTTGTACTACGGATATAATGTTTGTATTAAAAAATAAAAATTTGACACTTGGTGTTTAATATTGATTAAAATAAATAACATATTTATTAAAATATATAACAAATATTGATTTCAAGCTCACCGCACACAAGTACAATTATAATACTAACAATATTGTTAAATTTTTGTAAAAGAATATTAATTGAGTTTATTAAACCATACATATATTCATACCCATGATGTGTAAATGTGGTGTTATGAGTTTCTTTTAGTTTAATCGTGCAGTAACATTTAACATTTTAAAAATTCACAATTTGTATACTACAAACACACAATGTTAATATATATGTAATTGATTATCTTGTTTTGTATTCACAAATTCCTTTCAAATATTTCAGTTACATAATATTAACAAATTAAGATTTGATGACCTTATATTGGATTCACAAACACAATTTATATTTTAAAAGTTCACAATTCTAATACTAAAAATACACAATTTATACGTCGTTTAGAACCAGAATCTACCTTACAAGGTGGACTCTAGTCGATGGTATAACAACTCGTGTGATCAATTGTATAAGAGTTCTACTATATGAATTCCCAAATCTTACTCCCTTCATTTTACTCCCTGATGTCGCGGGCTCTGATAATTTTTATTTTTTTTTGTGAGTCCCAATATAAGTGTCCATATCAAAATTTTATTTATGCGAATAAAAATTGGGAGTATATAGTGAGAGCACACAGTATTTTTCATTGACAATCGTTATACCCTACACCACGACGCGCGTAGCACTGTGCGTCGCGCGCCTCCCAAAACGACGTCGTTTTAGGGTCGTTTTGGGAGGCGCGGTAGGAAGTTGCTGTGATTATGTGTATTTGTTCATACAGTTATGTACATTTTTTATACAATTATGTACATTCTTTTTATACAATTATGTACATCCGAATCAGAAAATTTGTGTGTATTATGTTAAGAGTTGATGTGTATTATGTTAAAAGTTTATGTTTATTATGTATTATGTTAGATTATGTGTATTATCTTTTAAAAAGAGTATGTATATTTTGTTAAATAATTATGTACATTCATGTATACAATTATGTGTATTCTAGTATAACATTATGTACATTTTTGAACAACGGGTTTTTTTTTAAAGAAAAAATTACTGTCATTCACTAGGGCGAAAAATTTCAAAAAAAAAAAGAAATTAAAACGACGTCGTTATGTATCTGGGCGCACAGTGCAACGCGCGCCGTGGTGTAGGATATAAATTGCCTTTCATTGATTAATGATTGGACTCCTTATTGATGAATAAAAATGGGCCTGTAACAGGCCCACATTCTTGTGTTTGATGTTTAACATCCTGTTAATCTATTATCCCCCAAAATTTTGCGAAAGCAGAGGAGACAAGATTTGAAATGCTTTCTGTCGCGATTTCCATACACGTATGCTCCATTACACCTTCACCATTGCCACACAACCGTGCCGGAATCGCCGTGCTTGGTAAGAAATCCGCGAAACTTCGGACCCACTTCATCGTATTGGCGATCTCCGCTACTTCTTCGTCAAAAGATGCCTGGAGGAGGACGGCTGAGCCGCCGCCGCCGCCGTCGTCGTCACCAAGAACCACACCGTACCGCCGGAAACAGCTGCCGGCGTTCTTGGACAGCAGCGTCGACATGGAGGAGCTGCTACTGTCAATAAGCAAGACAAGCAACGAGCATGAGCTTTTCGCTTTGATGTCGCCGTACAAAGGTCGAACACTTTCGATGAAGTTCATGGTCACCCTCCTCTCGCGCGAAGCCGACTGGCAACGCTCGCTTGCGCTGCTCGATTGGATCAATGAAGAGGCTCTGTACACTCCCTCCGTGTTTGCGTACAACGTCGTGCTGCGTAACGTGCTCCGGGCGAAGCAATGGCAGCTCGCCTATGGGCTGTTCGACGAAATGCGCCAACGGGGGCTGTCACCCGATAAGTACACTTACTCCACTCTGATCACCCAGTTTGGGAAAGAGGGCCTGTTTGACGATGCTCTATCTTGGCTTCAGAAGATGGAGCAGGACCATGTGTCAGGTGATATCGTTTTGTATAGTAATCTGATCGAGCTGTCACGTAAATTATGCGATTATTCCAAGGCAATTTCTATATTTTCTAGGCTGAAAAGTTCAGGGATTGTTCCTGATCTTGTAGCTTACAATACAATGATCAATGTGTTTGGGAAAGCTAAGCTTTTTCGCGAAGCACGGTTACTGCTAAAAGAGATGAAATCAGCTGGGGTTAGGCCAGATACTGTTAGCTACTCAACACTTTTGAATATGTACGTAGAGAATCAGAAGATTTTGGAAGCTCTATCTGTGTTTTCTGAGATGAAGGAAGCGAATTGCCGTCTTGATTTGACAACATGCAATATAATGATTGATGTATACGGGCAGCTTGGAATGGCGAAGGAAGCAGACACGCTCTTTTGGAGCATGAGGAAGATGGGAATTGAACCGAGCGTGATTAGTTACAACACGCTTTTGAGGGTTTATGGTGATGCCGAGCTGTTTGGGGAAGCCATACATTTGTTTAGGTTGATGCAGAGGAAGAGTATCGAACAAAACGTTGTGACATATAACACGATGATTAAGATCTATGGGAAGACGCTTGAGCATGAGAAAGCGAATAACCTTGTTAAGGAAATGCAGAGTAGAGGGATTGAGCCCGACACCATTACTTACTCGACAATGATCTCTATATGGAGCAAAGCAGGGAAGTTGGATAGAGCAGCGACGCTGTTCCAGAAGCTAAGGAGTTCCGGGGTTGAAATTGATCAGGTTTTATACCAAACAATAATTGTGGCATACGAGAGGGCTGGCTTGGTTGCTCATGCTAAGCGGCTGCTGCAAGAGCTGAAACGCCCTGATAATATCCCTCGGGGAACTGCTATAACCATTCTAGCTGGAGCTGGGCGAGTAGAAGAGGCCACCTGGGTATTTCGACAGGCTGTGGATGCTGGGGAGGTGAAGAACATAGAAGTTTTCGAGTGCATGATTGATCTTTACTCTAGACTCGGAAAGCACAGAAATGTAATTGAGGCGTTCGAGAAAATGAGAGAGGCAGGCTATTTCCCTGATTCTAACACAATCGCTCTAGTCCTTAACGCTTATGGGAACCTGCGGGAGGTTGGGAAGGCAGACGGTCTGTACAGGGAGATGCACGAGGAGGGCTGCGTGTTCTCAGATGAAGTCCATTTTCAGATGCTGAGTCTCTATGGTGACAGAAGGGATTTCGAGACTGTTGAAACATTGTTCGAGAAACTTAACTCTGATCCCCACATCAACAAGAAAGACTTGCATATAGTGGTGGCTGGTATATATGAAAGAGCGAATAGATTAAACGATGCATCTCGAATTGTCAACAGAATGAGTGACATGAGAATGCTGGTATGAGGTATCATGACTCTCTTTCAGTAGTAACTGTATATTCTCTCCAAGATGAAAAAAATTGTAAAATCCTTGTTTTTGTCTGTGTATATGTAAGCCATTTTTCCAGACCAATATGTTTAGTTCAGGCAAACATGCGCCTATAGTAAGCTTATTTATAAGTTCTGATTCTGCAGAAATCCATAAAGAAGGAAGCTGTAAGATATATGGATTAATTAGACCTGCAACTTGCACCAGTGGTCTAGTGGTAGAATAGTACCCTGCCACGGTACAGACCCGGGTTCGATTCCCGGCTGGTGCATTGTTAACAACTTTTTGCTAGTTTACTTGTTTGTCCATAATTTAAAAAATGTCCTTTGTTAACCATTTTTTTGCTAGTTTACTTTTTCTGTCCATTATTTGAAAAATGGGCTCCTCCTTGGAGACATGCTTTTTCTAAAAAATGATTTTCTCACCGCTCTTCCATTTTAGTGTGAGGGTATTTGGTAAATAGCTATTAGCTGATTTGGTTAATGAGTTTGATTAGTTAATAACATTAGTTTATTGTAGAAAATTATTTGATAAATTAGTTGTTTGCTGATAATTAATTACATGTAAAATGACTTTCTTAAAAAGTTGAAAAAGTTACTTTTAAACATCTTTTAAAATTTAACATTTTAGAGTAATAAATTGTTACAAAAATCTAATTAATCAAACATTCATGTTGACTATTTAACTAAGTCAAACAATTAATAATGATCAAATAAACTAAAATGAACTGATAAATGATAAGTTAACTATGTTACCAATCAAGCTGATAGGTCTTGAATAAAATATGTTCCACATTTTCTATTCATTACAACAATACACTCCTCACTGCTCCTCCTTGGAAACATGTTTTCTATCTCCGTCTCGATCTCTCACCGTTCCTGCCCTTTTAAGATTAATAATTGAGTTTTTTTTTTAAAAAAATAAAATAAAATTTACATTATTAAAAATTTCATTCTCATTTCTCAAATTGTTAAAATACCTAAAATTTTCGAGAAACATTAATAAAGTCACATGCATCAATCTGCAAGGGGAAGTAAAGCGTACACTTCCATAATTCCATTCCAGACTCTCTCTCTCTCTCCGTGTAGCTCACAGAAACGGCCAAGCATTAATTTCGTCGACACCAAAAAGCGATTCTTCACACGTATTTTCCAGTGGTTGTAGCCGTCACTTTCAATATCTCCGATCTCCTTATATTGAGATTGGGGCACGCGAAATTTCATAACCCCTCGCAGATCTGCAATGGAGGTTTTCGAGAAAGCCAAAACCGTGAGGCTAAAGAGCCACCACGACAAATACCTCGTGGCCGATCGCAACGAGGAATCGGTTATCCAGGACCGGCGCCACCGCGACTCCAAGGCCGCGAAATGGACCGTGGAATTCGTCGAGGGCGCGCACTTCGTGATCCGCCTCAAGAGCTGCTTCGGCAGATACCTAACCGCCGCCGACGAGCAGCACCTCCTCGGTGTGACTGGCAGGAGGGTTCTCCAAACGATGCCGAAGAAATTGGATTCGAAGATCGAATGGGAGCCCGTGAGGGAAGGCAACTTGGTGAAGCTGAAAACGCGATACGGGAACTTCCTGAGGGCAAATGCGGGAATTCCCCCTTGGAGAAACTCGATCACCCACGACATTCCTCACCGGCATAAGGATTGGATTTTTTGGGAGGTTGAGGTTCTCGAATTCCGGCAACAAGAGCCGGAAAAGGTACCGCGATCCGCTGACGCAGACGACGATGACTTAACCACCTTTAACCTAACCTCCTCAACCGTTTCCGCACCCTCGGTAAGTAACTTACTCAAACTTTTGGTCCCTCATTTTTATAATATGTTCATTTATAGTATTCCATTATTGTTTACTTGCTATTAGGCACTCAACTTCAAAAAAAAAAATAAAAAAATGGGAGTAATTAATAATGGAGTTAATTCTTTTTTTAGTCATTCTTTTCAAAAGGTTTGAACCCCAAACTCTGAGGTCCTTACACCTCGACCCAACAGAACATTTGGGAGGATGTAAATTATGGTAACTCAACTAAACTTGAACCATAGAGGCTAGACATTTGCTTACTGTGCACAAGGAGTCCTCTTTCCAAATTTTACCTCCATGCGTGCATTATTTTTTTAGTCATAGATTTATATGTGACAGTTTACTTTTAGTCTTTTTTTATTAGAACATCTTCATTGATCTAGTATTATTCTGAGATGACCATTTTTAGTTCTCTATTAATAAAATCATTGAAATTTCGTTAAGTACAAAAGACATTTTGATCTTTTTATACAAAGTAAGTTGACACGGTATATTCTTTTGAAAAATGCATAATTGAATACAGAAATGTCTGTTTCCTTAATAAAGGACAAAATAATCATGTCATGACCAAAAATGGATGTTTTGATAAAAAGGGACTTCGAGTGGAGGGTCACTTGTAAATTTAGAACAAAAATTAGAATTATAGCTCTTAATAAGGAGTGATAATTGTATAGTTAGGAAGCATTTTTGTAGCTAGAATATATAGTGACAAGAAATGTGAAATGTACGTACGAGGTTGTGCAGTCGGCGGAGGGTCGGCTAATATATTACGCAGTGGGGGACGAGAAAGGAAGGGTTGATGATTCAGTGGAATGGCCGAGCTTCTATTTTAAAGGGCATAGTCTGGAGGAGTTGAGTGAAAAGTTGGAAGAAGAAACGGGGCTTGAAGATATCATTGTATGCACGCGCAACCCTTTGAACCACAGCATTTCCCCGCTCCGCCTAGCTCTGCCTCCCAACAATTCCACCATGCACCTCCTCCTTCTTCCCTCCACATCCCAAGGTTAGTTAGAAACACACAAAACACCTTTATTTGTTTACCTTGCAGATGGTATGAGTAGAAGGCTAGGCTTCATTTGTTTCCCAACATTAATATAATGATGATGTTTTGTTGGCAGCGGCAAGAGAATTTCTGCCGGAAAGTTCCTCCACGGCGGATTGATGGTGATACATACACTCAAGAGAAGAACATTATATTCATGCTTAGTTACTGCATATTACATGTAGCCTTCTTGTTGGAGTTGTTTTGAACTATACATGATTTGGAATGAAAGAACCTCTGCTAAAAATGTTTCGTGAGTGTAGACTTGACCTGATCCAAGAGGTCAAGAAATGGTTAATATACGGAAATTTAAGAGAACAGTGTTCTAAATGGGGTAAGAAGACTTCTTGTGATTACCACTTTTGTGCAGACATTTTCTGTAAAACAGTTCAAACCCACAATAATGTTTTTGTTTTCATTGTATATAGTTTAGTGGTAAGTTACACCTTTTATGGAATAGGAAAATGAAAGCGGTTATAATCTTTAAACTAGAATAAAAAATAAGCATATATATATATATATATACACACTAACTAACATGGAATTGGAATTATTTGTTACTTATATAGCAGAGGAAAACCAATGATAAAGCAGGATCCGATGTTTAAACAGTGAAGCCGTGAAGGATGTCCAAAACCTGCAGACCACTGTGAATCTGAGATGCAGATTTATTGAGCAATGACAAAATCAGCGGCCTTAAATGGTGCTTTTTTGTTTCGGTACAGTACGATGATTAATAGTTTCAGAAAGATGATTCAGGAAGTAGAAGAAAAGTAACAAGGGTTCATCCGACCATCTAGAATTATTTTTACAATCCAAAAAAAACAACCTGATGAACTACTGCCAAAGAACATGTTCCCATGTTTCCTCTCAACATGCAATCGTATATTGATCCTCTTGGTTAACTATTCCAAAGCAAATTCAGGGCTTGAGAGCCAAGGCAAGTCCAAACTTTGCACTCTTGTCGACTGCTTTGACATCTACCTCACCTGATAGGGTGATAAGGGACTTGGGACGCCACTCGTGCTGGATCAGAGCATTTGCCCTCCCGAAGTTGTTCACCCGTGCCTTCACGGTTGTCAAAGGATCCAACTGGTGCTGGGTACCAACGGTAATGGTATTCACATTGGATGAGAAACTGTGGTTCACCTCAGCACCAACAGCAGTATTACTCAATGGATTGACGTGGTGGTAGTATGATGCACTCAGAGAGTCACCTTTGTCATTCCTGTAATGGCAAAAGCAATTTATGACGTTCAACACAACACCGTACATCTCACTCCAAGACACAAGCAGGAAGAGTAAAAAGTAAAGAGATCTCAAACTACAAAGTGCATCAGCAAATTGCTAAATAGAAGAAACCACTCACAGGGTCAACGAAGCAATCAGGTCTGAATTTGTGAAGCTCAAGCCTGCATTGTATTTGGTGAAGGCTCCACTCTTTGTGTCAAAGGACACATCAGTTCCAAGCGCAAGAGCATTAGTTCCTACCACACCAGAGAAGTTGACGATGGGGTTTGCTGTTAACCCCACACTGGTGCTTATCCCGGCATGGTCATGTAAATATTGAAGCTCAACCTGTTGAACAATGAGAGCCAGTAAGAAACTCTAGCAATCTTAAGATGGCCTCATTGTTTTTTATATTTATCATTTATGAAACTTAATGAAATCCATCAGAAAGATACCTTGCCAGATCTTTGATCAGGAACTCTGAAGCTTGAAATGATTTTCAAGCCAGGAGCAGCTTCATCAACAGTGATGGTGGTAAAGACCTAAAAAAGAAGCATAAAACAGTTAGGAAATGTGTTCTAAAACTAGATATGAAAGTCAACCAATATATCCATCCACTGCCAACGATACAAACATGGGGTAGTATTGCAGAATAAATAAATAAATAAATAACAACAAAACACTCTAAGAGCATCCACACTTGTGCATATTGTGGGGAGATTTCAGCATTAATTCTTCCCTACATGAGATAATAACTAGTGTGGAGGGGAGATAATTGAAAAAGAATTGTTCTGCAAATGAAGAGATAATGCAGAAATGGTGGGACCCACCACAAAAACCACCACTGGTGACAGCCACGTGCGCACAGCGGGTGCGTGCACGCCTGACAGTCTGATTTTTTTTTTTTTTAAAAAAATAATTTAATTTTCCTTTTTTTTTCTTTTTTTTCCTCTCCCCTCCCATCTTCTCTTTCCTAATCGCTCTTACATTATCCCCTATTCTCCCCAACAAATGTGGATGCTCTAAAAGGTAGTAGAACAGCCAGGTCAGTCTTGAAACAATTATTAAATGCCATTAGAGGGTAGGTCTCAGCAGGATGTGCAAGGAATACTGTGCAGCGAAAAAAATTCTGACATTGGCAAATTGTGATAGCATCAACATAGGGAAACATCATTCGTGGGCGACTATGAACGACTGATAAAACAGTAAAAGCAAGGGCAGGCAAATAGATATGAAAAATATGTAAAATGATTGTATATGGGAGCTCACGTTAGAGTTGGTGTCCACTTTAAAATCAGTGGTGATGTTCTTATTCTTCAACTGAGTGTTAACATCACCCAAAAACAGATCTCCTTTCTTTGATCCAGTCGAAGTAATGACCTGTAGTTAAGAGAAGTTGAAAAAAATTTGTCAAAAACAGTTTGCAATAACAATATAAATATAATTGAGAATAAACAAGTCTTACCAAATACACCTAACCAGTACATAGAAAAACTAAGACACCCAAAACAGAGCTACATTACCATAAAAAAAAAATATAAAACCTAGATAAAGGCAAAACATCACATAGAAATTATCACGCATAGTAGTGTGAAGTATAATTTTACTTGCAGCTATTGCAACAGAAATGCAAAGGCTGACAGAATGACAAATCCAACTATCCAAGTAAACAAAGTTAAAATCAATGAAACTTTGCATGCCAGCAACATCAGATTCGTTATTGATGTTAATCAAAATAACTAACAATAATCTTCTATTCTTCTTCAACAATGTTACTATACTCTAATGAACTCATATTAAAAATCTACACAAAAACAGCCTTGTTCGTAGGCCTCCCTAAAATCAAAATCTAAAACAATCCTCATCGATAGAGGCAAGTAGGCAAAAAAAAAAAAAAAAAACCTAGCACAGATCCGAGCAAAGCAGAGTGAAAAACTCACCACACCAGTAGGAGAGTAGGTAGTGATCGTGAACTTGTGGTCCGTCTGGTAATCCCTATACAGAAGATCTATTTCAACCAGAAAACAAAACAAAATGAGCTCAAAATCAAAAAAATGAAAATGAAATGAAAGTAAAACCACACAGGATACTCCAATTGCGTACAGACCTCTAGCCTTTTTGCCGATGTCGGTGTAGAGACCTGGACCCTTGCCCATTTCTGCAGCTAGAGCTGAAAATCGGAAACACAGTCGCGACGGAGAGAGGTTTTAGTGTGAGAGCTCCGGGGAACAGAGAGAGGAGGATGAAGTGTATTTATATGCGGCAAAGCCCTAATTCGGAGCCCCAATTTGAACGGTGCGCGACTACGTGTTCTTCTCATGAATCTGGACCGTTGAAATGGAACAAATGCGATCTGGCTCCACGTTGGCCGTAGATTGTTCGCGTTGAGACTAGGAATAGATATGTTTTTGGAACTAAGTGGACACGTGGCTTAATGTTGCTGCGCCGGATGAACATTGGATTACGCCTCCCGTTTCTTTGGCAATAAGACAATGGGAGGGAGGAGTTTTGTTCCTCAAGAAACGATTTCCTTCGATATGTTCTAGATGTTTGAATTATGCGAAAGGTTACATTTTTGTTAAGTGTATGTTTAACCTTTAATAATTATATGTTCTAGGATTCACATTTTGTGTTTTGCATAGCTCAAAGTTTAAATTAGTGTACATAATTATTTCATAAGATTAGGTAGTTTTTATACACGATACGTGAGAGTAAGTGTCTACTATAAAAATTATGATTATATTAAAATAGTTGATTAAATACGAAGATTCCTATAAGTTCATTAGGTACACGGATCAGATCGAGTGGATATCCTGCTCAGGTTTGCTTGTTGGTTTAAGACTTGCTCGGAATACGTGACAATTTCTATAAATTCACGAAGGGGCAGTTAATGTGGCTCGGAATACGTGACAGTGGATTTGTGGTTCGGAATGTGCATTTAATGAGGTATTTAATAGAGTCGCGAAAGGGTGCATGCCGGTCTCTCGCCATGTGTGACACGCGGAACACATGCACAGGGCGAGGTCGAGACCTAGCAGGGCAAACTTTTCAAATTTTGAAATTCGAAACAGATCACGAGGCACAAGCTAAGCAATTGACACGTGCCCCACATCCTACACGAACAGAGACCCGTGCTCCGTGTATTGCACTCGATCCCCGCCTGGAAGGAAGAGTTCCAATATGACCCCTGCTCGGATTTTCTTTGTCTAAACCCTTTCGCCCGAAACAGTCGTCAAGCAACACTGCTAAAAAAATTTATAGGCACTATTCACTAAAATATATTTTGTTTTTCATACCGCTAATACATTTCATTTCAACATACATAATTCCATATTGGCAAACTAACAATCATCCACAATAATCTATTTAATCCAACAATAATATAAATAATCCATCAATAATACATATTATATTATCTAATAATCCACAACAATTCATTCAATCCAACATCCACAATAATGCATTAATTGTAACCTGCAATTTGCTAACATTGGAGAAGAATGCACACTGGTTGATAGAGACTTGTTGCCTTCTAAAAATAGCTATAACAAATAAATTTGTTATTTTATCCATCGTTACTGCCATGCCCATTGTCTACAATTCGGTCAAGCTAGGATACATTATTAGGATTAGTTTGATGTTATTCAAAGCAAACAAATTAAATTTATAATAGAATTAATAACACTATATAATTACCATACCAAAAACATGAAAATATAAAACTATAATATATATTTGCGCTACATCATCCAATGACAGTGTTGTATTATCATAATAATCCAAATGTAAACAAAGATTTTAAGGCATATTATATCAATATCTACAATTCTATAGTACTTAGATGGTAGCAAATAAAGTAAACGTGTTGCTGATCACTATAAAAAAGTAAAACAAATTAATGCAGGCGAACCCTGCAGTAGATAAAGTCATAAAAGGGAGAACTAAACCTTTCAAAATTAAAGCCTCCAATACCAAGAACATAATCACATAAACAATTATATCCGTATAGAACTAATGAGATGATGAATATATAAGATTATTAGTAGGTCCAAAATAACTGAAGAAAATGGGTTTACATTTGTTTAGTAATCAAACAATAATTCAATATTTCAAACTTTAATATTTATAACTGGAGTAATTAAAAATTTTAAAATGAGCTTGGAAAAGGCCGGCCTCGGTTTAATATAAACCATAGGGTCAAGGGCGGTTGGACCGAGGGTTACTCGCGATTGGTAATAGCACATTGATCAACCAATGATCGTTCAAAGTGTAAAAAATTAAATTAGGAATAAGAGTCAAATAGACCATCGAACCGCACATAATAATGCAATTAGGCCATTGAACTCAAAAAAGCTACAATCAAGTCCCTAAACTAACAAATTTCAATTTGTCCAATTTACTAGTTTTCCCCATTTCTAATAGGTCACCCAATTTAAAATATTTTTTAAAAATATTTTTTTATAAAAAAATTAATTAAAAAAAAAACTTCATCTCCGGCGGAGACGAAGAACTTATCTTCGTTTCCGACCATGGAGACGAAGGGCCGGAGACGAAGATACCTTTGCCTCCATAGCCGGAGACGAAGAGTCTCTTCGTCTCCGGCCATGGAGACGTGACTCTTCGTCTCCAGTCATGGAGACGAAGATACCTTCTTCGTCTCCGGCCAGAGACGAAGAAGGTTTCCTCATCTCCGCCCGGAGATGAAGATAAGTTCTTGGTCTCCGGCGGGAGACGAGAGGTTATTATTATTATTATTATTATTATTATTATTATTATTATTATTTATAATTTTAGTTTATTTTAATTATTTTTTAAAAATATTTTTAAAATATATTTTAAATTGAGTGACCTGTTAGAAAGGGGAAAATTTGTAAATCGGACAAATTATTTGAAATATGTTAGTTTAGGGACTCAATTGTAACTTTTTTGAGTTCAGTGACCTAATTGCATTATTATGTGCAGTTCGATAGTCTATTTAACCCTTATTCCATTAAATTATTTCTTCAATAATAATTATGAAAAGTTAAAAGTTAAACAATAATAAGCGTATGCCAAGCCTATATTTTATATTTTATGTCGGGTAAAAAATATTTTAGTAAATTTTTGATTTAGCATATTCTAAGTCATTATGAGTACTATTAAATTTTTTTTTAAAAAAAGTAGAATTTTTTAAAAATTTCTCAATATAATTCTCATTCTATATATTTTGATGCAATTAATATATATATATATATATATATATATATATATATATATATATATATTAATAGCAAAGTTTCGAGATGTCAACAATATATAACATAATCCAACCTTGTATAATTATATATATATTGTCCATAACAATTACTAAATGTTAAATAGTATAAGGAGTATCATTTATCAATATAAAACTAGAATAACATCAGACTAATGGTTATTGAGAAAACACAATATAATTAAGGCCACCACATTTTTAAACATAAGGCCATGATTAATTTACCAACAAATGGCTCTGCATGCATTTAGCTGCAGATTAATGATTCAACCAGCTGGCTATAAATAGTTGCGGGCAAATGCTTCTGGAAATCAGATCTTTGAGGGAGAAAAGCCTGTAATAAGACTTAATAAAACTAAATAAATGCTGAGAGCCTAAGTATTTATTTTTTTCAGGTTTTCAGTTTTCGGTCAAGGTTTGGCCTAGTATCAATAGGCCACCGCCGAATTGGATCCCATTCACAGGGGAAAAAAAATAGAGATGTTTAACAAGATGAATTGGTCGCTCCTTGTCGTGTTTTTTGCATTCGGGGCTGTCATCCCCGCCGTGGCCGGCGAACTTGGCGATATCCACAGCTCCGACCTATACTGGGTGAACCGCAAGGCGGAAGCTATGGACTATGCCATGAAAGCCTTCACCAAACATCCCGAACACGTCACCCGTAATATCACTGCAGAGGTCCATAGGTAATTGCTTGCTTGTTCAGTCCTAAATGTTTTGAGAAATCTGCAGCATACAGTCAAACTTGTAACTTTGTGATTACCAAATGAACCGTCTGACAAATTTGGTTGGAATACTGATGGCCTGTTTGATTGTGCGTAATTTGGCTGTAGGTGAATTGCAATTCAGTGAAAGCCACAATTACGCCGTTTGGTTGGAGTGAATTGCAATTCCCTCATTTTGCTGAATTGCAATTCATGGGCACCCTCTATGAATTGCAATTCGGTGGTTGTGGGAAAAGGAAAAAGGGATGAAATGACAAAAGTACCCTTAATTATTACTACTATTATTATTACAAGTCTTGATATCACTTCTTTCATTCCTTGCCCAATAATTCTATTAATTTCTACCAAACAATGTAATTTGAATTCCTACTTTATTCCAACCTTATTCCTTTTCCACCGAATTACAATTCTTTTCCACCCTAATTCCTTACTTCCAACCAAACACCCTGTGAATGTTTGGTTGGCTTCGACAAATTATTGTGTGAACCATGGTCCACACAATGTATATTATTTTTAATGTACTATCTCTGGAATATAATGTACATTATTTTTGTATTGAATGTACATTATTTTATAGTATACAAAATATGGTTCACAATGGACCATGGTCCACTAAATAATGATTGGTTTTCTTCCGAATGATGATTTTAAGGTAGGTTTAATGTGTTTTTGTAGCATGAGGCATGAAACAATGGCGTTTGAGGATGATAGGGAGGTGGTCAACGGTACAAGGAGGCACTTGAGGGGGAAGAAGTTCAAAGGGCCATGCAAGGCCTTAAACCCCATTGATAGATGCTGGAGGTGCGACAAGGATTGGGTGAAAAACCGCAAGAGAATGGCGGACTGCGCCCTGGGATTCGGCGCCGGAACCACCGGAGGAAAGGACGGGCCGTACTACGTCGTGACGGATTCGTCGGACAACGAAATGGAGGAGCCGAAGCCGGGGACACTCCGGCACGCCGTCATCCAGGACGGGCCGCTGTGGATCATATTCTCCGCCAGCATGACGATCACGCTGCAGCACGAGCTATTAGTGACTAGCGACAAGACCATTGACGGCCGCGGCGCGTACGTCAAGATCGTCGGCGGCGCCGGCTTCACGGTGCAGTTTGTCAAGAACGTCATCATCACAAACCTAAAGATCAAGCGCATCAAAGCCACCTCCGGTGGCATAATCAGAGACTCCGCTACCCACAAAGGTCTCAGGACTTTCGACGAAGGAGACGGCATTACTATCTTCGGATCCTCCAACGTTTGGATCGACCATCTCTCCATGTCCAGGTGCGAAGACGGAATTATAGACGCCGTTAAGGGCTCCACCGCCGTCACCATCTCCAATTGCCACTTCACCGATCACTCTAAGGTAAGAAATCTCTTGAAATCTTTAAGTCTGTATCAAATCAACTGATCAACTTTACGAAATCCAAACAGGTGTTACTCTTTGGGGCGAACAATTGGGACCCAATCGACAAGGTGATGCAAATAACGGTGGCCTTCAACCACTTCGGCAAAAGGTTGTGTTATTGCTTCATATATGAATGTACTAATTTCTTCATTATTTGTAACAATTCTTTACTTAGGGGTTGGAATCTTTCTATTCCATACATATTTGATATTTGTTCTTGAGCTTTTTGACATAACTAAAAGAGGTAAAGTCTTTAAACAATAGTAAGTATTGTTATTACATTAGCTAAAACCTTTTCGTTCTTGTTCATTTCTATTGCAACAAGATGGACTTTATCAAGTCTCAGAATGGACCAACTATTAAATCTTGGATGGAAATTTCTTTTACCTATTTCTCTAGGTAGTCCATTATTAACAACTTCAACTCAACTTCTTTCACTGCAAAAGACTACAATATTCAAAATTGACGGCTTGCCTCAAACAAGAGAAAGAAACAAGCATAAATTTTTAATAGATATTCACCATATGTTCCCTATGGTAACTGAACTTTTGTATTATGGTCAACAAATCATACGAGTTGCCAGGTATATCGGCCAAAGTTTCATGATTACCCTGTCCCATGCAAATTGTTTACCCGTAACTATTCAATATCCCTATGAAAAATTGATCACACCAGAACGCTTTCGAGGCGTTAAGTCTTTTATTAGTTTGTGTTGGCCTAGTCTTGTGGCTCGAGTGTAACTACTTTGTTTCATACTCTCTCGCAGGTTGGAGCAGAGGATGCCGCGGTGCAGGTGGGGATTGTTTCACATAATAAACAACGACTACACACACTGGGAAATGTACGCTGTCGGAGGTTCAGCCGGCTCCACCATAATCAGCCAGGGCAACCGCTACATTGCCCCGCCGGGTCCGTCGTACTTCAAGGAGATAACCCACAGGGACTGGCCCAACGATGAGTGGAAGGGGTGGACATGGGTGTCGGATCGTGATGAATTCGTGAACGACGCTTTCTTCACGCCGTCCGGAGATCCGCAAGGTGCCGTGAAGTACGGCCGTCTCGACCTCCTCGACCCAATGCCGAGCTCTCATGCCGGTAAAATCACTAGGTTCGCCGGTGCTCTTTCATGCAAGTACGGAAAACCCTGCTAAATACAGTCCGACCACAATTCATTTTTAATTTTTTTTTGTTGCTGATATTAGTTATTAGTAATTTTTTGTTACTTGTCAATTTTCAATTTTTGTATGACGAACCATTTTGGATTTGGAAATAGATCTCAAAGTGTTTGGTTCAAATTATATAAGATAACATGTTATATTTTACTTATGAATATAATATTCTCATATAACATCTTCTATAATTTTATATTAAAGATTAAAACTTTGTGTGAATGAGCATACATACCGTTTAAATCAATTTGTCTACTGTTGTGTTTTGACATCTCTGTCGCACACATATTTTATAGACCTCAATTGTAAAATTTATATATGTGTGCTTACTTTTGGTTTCATATATTTGCAATAAACTAAACTTGATGGAGGAGCTGTGATTTGCTTAGCTTCCAGGTTAGGATTGAGGTATGATCATCTTAGATAGGGTCTGTTTTGAACGAAGGTGATCTTATATATATATATATATATATATATATATATATATATATATATATATATTGTAATAATACATTTCATATAAAGTCATAATATTTTGATTGTAATTTGTAAATAATAAATGAATTAATTTACTTTTTATGATTTATGAGTTTAGTAAGAAAATACTATTATAATTTATAATATATAAAATGTTAAATTTTTTTGTGCAATATATAAAATGTTATTGATAAAGTATTTGGGAGAAAAAATAATGCATAATTATACACTACCAAATATTATAAATTTAATATTTAAATGTTTAAAAGAGACGGTACTAGGTGATTTTATGTTAAACTCGTATTTATACTATCACACCACCAGCACACATTTAACCAAACATCATAAAATTAAAATATTTGTTGATAAATGAATATTTTTTAAAAATTACTTCCCAAAACATATTTATAAAGAATCTTTTTGTGTGTGTGTAAACAGTTATGGATTTATTTATTGACTAAAATGTATGTTCTAAATAAAATGTAAAATTTATGATTTAGCCCCATACGGTTTGGCTCTGCATCTCGGTGCCAATGTAAAACGACGACGTTGAAGCTACCACTGGACATGCCACCCGGCAGAACCCGACGGTGCGGTCTTCTTCATCCGTCATCACATCCGCGTGAGCGGAACTTTTTCGCGGGAATCATTGCCAGTCTCAAGCGAAACGGACAAGTGAGAACAGCTGTCGGTGGCGTTTCCATTCTCGTGAAACGCACGAATAAAATCCCCAATCGCCTTCAGACGCTGTTTATCCGACTTCTATAGCTCTCCGATACAGATAATTGAAAGATGGCCGACGCTTCGCCGTCGACGCAGCCGCAAGACGACGGCGGCACAACCATAACGGATCTCGATGTCGACGCTCTGGTTAACTGCGCGAGCTTCCTTTCCATTCCGGACGTTCTGAATATGGCCATGTCCTCTAAGCACCTCCAAGCAGCAGCGTTTTCCGATTCTATATGGCTTTCATTCTTCAGGTTCTTCTCCGAAACCTAGCTAATTCGATTAACATCACTCAATTCGTAATTTTAGTAACACGGCACATAACTACATAACCAGTGACTGACTGTCAGTGATCGATTAGTTCCTTTGTTCAGAAATAAATCAGTTGATTTTGTTTTGGATGTGTTATTTCGTTGCTTAGAAAGCGGTGGCCATCGCTGTTACCTTCCAGCTTCCCTCAGACACTCGGTGCCAGAGAAGCTTATTTAAGTAGACTTGCTGAAGTGCAGAAGTTCAAGTTCAGTGACCCCTTTGTTGCAGAGTTCAATACTGAGGCAAAATCGCTTGATAATTTATTAATTGACAAGAATAACATTATCTACTCACAGGTACTATTCCTTGCTTTCATCGCAGATAACAAGAACATGCATACAATGTGCAACTTCTATTGCTCTATTTAAATATGTTTGAAACTATATGGAACTTGGGATCAATGGGCTTTTTACTTTCTTTTGCTTGCCTTTGGTTGTAACGATAGTCTCAGAGTCAGACTAAGTATTATCCTCTTTTCGCACATATCAAGTTAACACAATCTGATTTTGGTTTGATATTTGTACTCAGGGCGCTTTGGTTACTGTTTTGATGATTGATGAATATCTAAATGGACAAGACCCTCGTGTTGAACTTAGGGGTCACACTGCTAAAATTTCTTGTGTGAGGTAAGAGGAATGGAATAATACTTTGATTTGCATTTTGCTTGGGCTACATTAAATTTTGGAATAGAATCAGACATCAAATGAGTAGCCTAAGTTGTTGATCTGTTTGCATGTGTCCCCTGCCCCCTCACCATCCCATCCCACCCCACCCCACCCTTATTCAGTTCTTTTATTTACAGTGGTGTGATGCGTGGAGTTAAGAGTTTTCTACATGACATAGTATTATCTAATTATCATTTCCCCCCATTTTTTTTATAGATTGTATCCCATTGATGAAACACCTTTTCACCGAAGTCAGGATCAAAAGAACGATAATTTGGTGGTAACCTCAAGTTTTGATCATTCAATTCGGATATGGTTGAAGGTACTATGCATAAGTTACCAAAAAAATGTGAATTTATCTTATGGTATCTATTTGAAGTTTGTTTGTCCTTTAGCCACAGTACTTGGACAGCTGGCCCAGAAATGCTTGTGAGGCTTATTTTATTTTTACTTTTTGTCTAAAGTTGCAAGTGTTTTTATGGGGGTTCCTTAGTCTATATACCTTGTTCTTCTTTACTACATCTTGTTATAGGTTTTGTTGTGCAACGGTCATACCATAAGTTGTATGTTTTATTTCTAAAATTTGGTTTCTAAGAATTCAATGATTTAGTGCAATATGAAGTCGGTTACATGCTTACTGAACGTTGCTGTTGCCAATGGTCATAGGGTCGTTGCGTACGGTGCTTGAGAGGTCATAATGGTCCAGTTTCCGCACTTTCAGATGGACTGTTGGATGGGTGTTCTGGAAAATTAATGGCTAGTGGAGGTGAAGATGGTACTGTTCGACTATGGTCTCTTGAATCTGGTGGAAAGGGCCAGCATGCTTTAAAAGCAACACTGTATGGCCATGAAAGGCCTGTTGTTCTTATGTCAGTGGCCAGGTATTATTGGTTTGTAGCGTTGCATTTGGTATAGATTTCATCTTATTCAGATGGTGGATGGGAACTATATTTTCTTTTCAAGGGAAATAAAATGGTCATCAAGGTATCTTACATTAATAATGAGCTGTCTTCTGTTTATCTAATATAATGTGATTCGGTCTAATCATCATTCCAACTTGCCCCAGCAAAACCAGATTAAGATTCATTTCAAAATTCTCGTGATTGTTAAACAACTTGAAAATGATATGTTTCTGATAGGGAGATAGAATTGTAGTGGGGGGAAATGTTAAGTGAGCATGCATAACATGTCTTGATAATTATTTGACTAATTGTTTGTTTGATTTCTTCTGTTTTTCTACCTCTTCTCTTTCAGGCACAGAACCTCCCTTTTAGTGAGTATATCAAAGAATTCCAAGGTATTTATATTGTTATACCGGAATCATTCCCTTAATGTATTTTCCCTTATTCAAAATTTGTAAGAAAGTCATTTAACTCTAAACAAGATGTTATTGGGAGATAAATCTTTTATAATTATCACCTGTCAAAAAACTAATTTTGTATTATCTGGTGTAAAACAAATCTTTCAGCTGTCATGTGCAGTTAATCGAATATTTACCAGTGTTTGTCTTCAAATTGTTTCACTAGCCAACTTGAAAACTAGTATATCTGTTGTAAGATGAATCTTTTATAATTATTACTAGCCAACTTCAAATTGTCTCACACTGATAGAAGGAACTTGTTTATGGTTTGCTAGTATATCTGTTGATACTGTTTTAATCTTATCTAGGTAATGGTTTGGGACACCACTACATCATCTGCAGCTCGTTCTTCTTGTTGTGTGGGAATGACAACTGTTCCTGGTACACCTGTCGCCATGAAATGCCATGAATCATTGATCTATGTTGCAGCTGGATCATCTGTGGTTGGAATTGATTTAAGAACAATGAATAAAGTATTGACATTGAAACATCAAGAAGCTATATATTCTTTCGAAATGGTGCCTCTGAAATCCTTAATCTGTACCGGCCTGACGTCCAGGTAAGAGATCCATCTGTCAGGAAGATTCTTTCTACTACTAGAGTAGGGGAAAACATCCAACTGTGTCATAGAATGGCTGCTCTAATCATGCAACCTAGGTCCTAGTATCAAAACTATGATTTAAATTCAGGCAGAAAATGGAATATATATTACTGTGGCACTATGTATTACTGATCTTAATATTTTGACAGGGCAGTGGTTTGGGATATTAGGAAATGCGCTGACACGCAGACAGGGAAAATAGTAGCTGAGCTAACTGGACATAGAGGCCGCGTTAATCTCTTAGGTATGGATGCATACAAAATCGTGACTGGTGGCCAGGAGGATCTTCGTTTAAATGTTTGGGAGGCAGAAACTGGTCAACAAACGAATTCCCTGATTTGTTGTTCTGGGGATGATCCACACCCTGGCTGTGGCTTTTCAGGAATGGCTGTTGATGGCTGTCGGATTGTTACAACCTTCAGCGATCAACAATATGGTGTTCTACACTTCATGGACTTCAACAATGCCACTACTCCTGTCTTGTTTAATTCAGATCCAGTAGACCAATCAAAATTCTGGAGTCCCATATCATACAGTGACACTGATGAATCAGACCGGGAACAGGAAGCTGAAAGATTGGAGGATTAAAATATAATCATAGCACCATCTATCATGACAGTTTTGATTTCTTTCTGTGTAGTTACACCAGCAATTCGCATCATTGTTATTTTCTTGGCGAGAGGAATCATCAAAGTCTAGAGAGCACAACAATTCTGGAAGACAGTCATGGCATATTAGCTTCGTTGAAGGGCAAAGGTGGCTGATCAATTGTTAGAATGTAACGCTAAATTGGCCATTTGTTGTATCAAAACGTACAGACGGATCCATATGGTGATGAATGAGAGGTGAATTTCAACCATGCGGCAAATCTATATATTTGTATTTAGGATAAAATCAGAGAAAAGTCAGCTGTTTGTAGGTATTTAAGAGGCAGGTAGAAATGGCTTTGTTTTTGTTTGTTTGTTTAAAGATTGTAGTTATTGCATCTAGAAAATCTTGTTTTAATGTAAATTACATGCTCTCTCAAACTAGTGTTGGGTACTTGGGTCTTGAGTACTGTCCTATGTTGGTAAGTTTGTGTGGTATACTTGGGTCTTGAGTACTGTCCTATGTTGGTAAGTTTGTGTGGTAGTTACTCCGTATTTTGTTTAAAAGAAAGTCTACAACATTATCTACATAGTTGGTCGGTTCAATAGTTTATAGTTGTTGCTTGAATATGGCCATTCTGAGTGAAAATTCGCATAGAAGGTCGGCAAGCAGATTCTAATAAGAATCAAACTTATAATTGTTCTATTAGAATTTAAAAGCTCTTGGTTATCGAAGTCATTATTTGACTAATTTTGTTTGAATTGTTCTATTAGGGATTCACTTCACTAAACATAAAGATAGAAATAGACAATTATGTTTAGTAACATAGTTAGATTGAGTAGAAATAGACAATTATGTTTAGTAACATAGTTAGCTTATCAATCAAACAATCAATATAAGTGTTTGATTAATTAATTTTTTGTAACAGCATATTACTCCAAAACGCTAAAATTCAAAGGCTACTTAAAGCAGTTTTTTGAAAAACCTACTAACCCAAATAATTAACAGCCAATTACCAAATGTCCTAAAATAGCCACAAGAAGAGGCCCTGTTTGGTAAAATAGTTAGCTTATCAGTTAATTTTGTCTTAATCTATAACTATTAGTTGTTTGACTTGATTAAAAAAATCAATATAAGTGTTTGGTTAGTTAACTTTTTGTAACTATAAAAATGTTAAAATTCAAAAAATTGATCAAAATAATTTTTTAATTAACTTTTTAAGAAAAAAATTATACCAAACAATTAATTTACCAATAATTTTATCACAATCAGTTAATATTATGAAGTAATCATATCTTTTAATCCAATCAGTTAACAATTATTTACCAAACAGGTCAAATATTTGTAATGTAATTTACATTGAAGTAGAGTGTATATGGTTTTCAGTTTTCACCCTCAAATAGTGGCAGTTATTAAAAGAAATAAAGAACTGGACAAAATACACGTGGAAACTGGAAACACCTCAAGGGCCCACACCTGGAGTCGCAGCTTTCGTCAACAGAGCGCGAAACCTGAGATCGATCTTCGTCTCTGTAGTTTGCGCTGCCGCTACTACAGTCTACACCACACCGGACAGCTTAGCACAGTTTCTCGAAGGATTGTTATATCCTTCAGTTTTCCGGATCCGTTTAAGATCCCTAACAAATCTCTCTATCGCCGGCAAAATGTACGGTTTCGAGGCGCTCACCTTCAACATCCACGGCGGATACCTGGAGGCGATCGCGAGGGGACACAGGGCTGCTCTGCCAGTGCGAAACTCTCGACGACATTAAGATGCACCTCTCTGCCACCGAGTACGGCCCTTATCTCCAAAACGGTCAGTCACATTTTCCCCTGCTCCAATTGCATTATCATGAATGCTCCAGAGTTTCAATCAAGGATTCAAATATAAAACTCTCAGTAATATCATTTGACGCTTTTGGGGTTGATCTCATGTTCATGTTCGTAGTTTTAGCATGCTTGGATTGTAGTAATGATTTATTATGTTAACTTCAGAGTTCAGAATAGAATTGAATCACGCTCAGGACAATTGGAGGGAAGAATTTACTTGATAGATGCATCGAGGAATAGGTTTAGATACACTAACAGGAAAGGCGATTCACTTTTATTATTATTATTATTTTTATTTATTTTAATAATCATTTCATTTTGCTGGTAGTCAATGTCAGTTTAGATTTGTGGGCTCTATTGTTTGAAATTCAATGGTTTCGTCTCCTTTTTAAATTCACAGAACCATATCCTCTACACACAACTACAATTGTGGAGAAATGCACTCTTAAACTTGTGGAGGAATATAACCACATGCTATGTCAAGCTACAGGCCCTTGTCAACCTTTTTAGAGTACATCAGGTATGCAAATCTTTAACTTGACCTTCTCTTCAATTCTCTCTTTCCAATGCATCACATATATTTTTTTAGGATGACGAGGTTACTATCCGAGGGAGTGCACTGAGTAAACACTGCATTGTGACCCTAGCCAACAAAGGGTCACAAGGTGGTAAATCGGCCTAGATTGTCCATAGCTGACCGGCTCAAACCAAAAGGTTAATACCTATATACGTGTATTATTGCAAGGAATATGTGATATTGGGCCCTCCCTTGGTGGCAATTGTTGCAGTATAGTATATCTGCATGTAAAATAAATTAAATAATTCATCTCTGCATACAATTGGTTGGCATTTGACTTTACTCTAAGGATTGATTTGGCTAATTAACACAGACATACCATAGTGCTTATGCTCCATTTTAACATAGGAGTGTGTGCATGCAATATAAAGGTTCCAATATAAGACCTCAGTTGTAGAGTCACCTCCTATTGAAGGCAAAATCTCACCTTGTCAATATTATTTCTTGTAATTCAGGTACGGCCACATGATTGACAATGTTGTCCTAATTGTCACTGGAACATTTGCACGACAGGGATGCTCAGGAATTGCTGGAGAAATGCCATCCTTTGGGCATGTTTGACAGGTAGTGTTCATAATAAGGCCTATAAGTGCTAATAAACCAATTGTCCAGCAATATCTTGACACTTAGATATTTCTACAGCATTGCTTCCCTAGCAGTTGCACAAAATATGAGGGAGCTTTACAAGCTTGTGCTTGTTGACACACCTCTTGCTCCATACTTCTCTGAGTGCATTACTTCCGAGTTATCATGTGCCTCACCCTTTTAAAGTTATAATTTGTTTGGGTTTTTTATAACCCTGACAGTTTTGCTTGTGACGTCCCACCTGAATGTTGTGGAACTTTTTGGTTCCTCATAAGGGCAGAATTTTCAGCTATGAAGGATTTAGATATTAAACAATTGTTGTTGGCAAATAGATGAAGTGATCAGTTAGTGCATACACTCCTAATTTTTTTTTTTTGACTCCTACACTAATGATTTTCCACAAATTATTGATTTATTTAATTATCCAGCACACTGGAGCCTCTATCCAATTTTAGTCTTGGGGTGGCAGTCTATATTATTGGATGGTGCTGTTTGATTGTGTAGTGTAGTTCTAATGTGGGACTTAATGCCCTGCAGGACTTGGATGACATGAATATTGAGATTATGAGGAATACTCTCTATAAGGCATACCTTGAGGATTTCTACAGATTTTGCTTGGTGATTTAAAATTTCTAGCAAATTCATTGTTTTATACTTTTAGACAGATACACTTTTGCACATTGTCTAATGTAAAGCTTTTGAATAGAAACTGGGTGGTGCTACTGCAGAGGTCATGTCTGACTTGCTTGCTTTTGAGGCTGACAGAAGAGCAGTCAACATCACCATAAACAGGCATGCCATTAGTTATTACTTTGTCTTGATCTCATTAGTATTAACTTATTATTATGCTAGATCATATCCTCCATTTTGTGCAATGGCATTTTTTCGTGCTGTCTTATATGGTTTTTACAGCATTGGTACTGAACTCACTCAGGAAGACCGCAAGAAGTTGTATTCTAATTTTGGTTTACTGTAAGTGCATTTGGTCAGTTCATGGTATAAACTATAAATAATAAATTTTCATATACCTCCAACACACTTTCTTCTTGACCCTGTCATTCGTGTAACAGTTATCCTTATGGTCATGAGGTACTTGCTGTGTGTGAAGATATAGATCAGGTACATGATCATACTATTGTTGTTGTTGTTGTTATTATTATTATTCTTATTTTATTATTATTATTACTAAGGCAATGAAGTTTATTATCATTCTTTCCATTAGTATAGAATAGACCGCTCGTGTAGGTTCTTTTTGAAATTCAATATAATACTGGTTCTTTCTATGTTATTCCTCATTTCCAAACATTCATCATGATTCATAGGTGCTACACAATTTGCTCCCATTTTTTCATCCCTAATAGTATTTCTTTATTGAAATACCCTGTATTACCAGAAGCATAGAGCATATGATAGCAAGGTTTACATTTTAAGGGGAAAAGTAATAAAAGAAAATTACTAATTTTATCATAGCATTTTGCCTTGCAAGCAAACCAGGAATGAATTAATTGTTTCTGGTATCAGCTGAGCGGTTGTTTCCTGACAGGTTTTATCTATTTTTCTTTATAGTTCACACTAAGTGTCGAATGAATTTTCCCTTTCATGCCTGCTTGCTGTTGTAGATTCGTGCTGTCATGGAAAAGTACCCTCCTTATCAGTCCATATTTTCCAAATTATCCTATGGCAAGAGCCAGATGCTTGACAAGCCTTTTTACGAGGAAAAAGCCAAACGTCTTTGCTTGGCATTTGAGCAGCAGGTATATTCTTCTCTGTAACTTTTCTGAAAGTGCTGATTTGCCTGGAAGTCTGGAACTATTAAGAGTAAGATTTAGAATCTTATGTTTGTGACATTGACATGCATGTTTCAGTCACCTCCACCCAAAATATAAAATGAAATTACTAATAATCAAATAAAACTGGATAAATTTGATCCTTTCTTGCAAATGCAGCTCAACTACGGCATATTTTTCGCATACGTGAGGCTGAGGGAGCAGGAGATAAGGAACTTGATGTGGATATCTGAATGTGTAGCACAGAACCAAAAATCCAGAGTGCATGACAGTGTGGTTTTCATCTTTTAATTTTGCAGTGTGTGTGAAAATTCAATTATTCTCCTGTTTAGTCTTGGGGGAAGATGTGGAGGAGAGAGGGTGAGGAGAGCGAAGAAATGGGGTTCTTGAGGAGGAGTGGTTTTTGGTCTGAGTCGCGCGTTTAGCGCAACTTGCGAGCGCGTAAAATCTTCCGTTTTGTTGTTGTTGTTGGCAGACTTGCTTTTTTATTTATTTTTTCTTTTTTCTCTCCCTCGTATCTTCACTTTCCTAATCACACCCGGAAAAACTTCTCAAAAATCACAACTGTTGTAGATGCTCTCCGTATTTGTAGATTGGGGATGTACCCATGCACCTGGATGTTGATTGTCAGGCCAAAACCTCCCATGCTTCGGAGGCTGATTAG